CACTTCTAGGGCCTGGTATTACCAAGGCATATCTTGAGGTGGCATAGCCGCCCCACTTCTAGGGCCTGGTATTACCAAGGCATATCTTGAGGTGGCATAGCCGCCCCACTTCTAGGGCCTGGTATTACCAAGGCATATCTTGAGGTGGCATAGCTGCCCCACTTTCTAGGGCCTGGTATTAACAAGGCATATCTTGAGGTGGCATAGCCGCCCCACTTCTAGAGCCTGGTATTACCAAGGCATATCTTGAGGTGGCATAGCCGCCCCACTTCTAGGGCCTGGTATTACCAAGGCATATCTTGAGGTGGCATAGGTGCCCCACTTCTAGGGCCTGGTATTACTTAGGCATATCTTGAGGTGGCATAGGTGCCCCACTTCTAGGGCCTGGTATTACTAAGGCATATCTTGAGGTGGCATAGCTGCCCCACTTCTAGGGCCTGGTATTACTAAGGCATATTTTGAGGTGGCATAGGTGCCCCACTTCTATGGCCTGGTATTACTGAAGCATATCTTGAGGTGGCATAGGTGCCCCACTTCTAGGGCCTGGTATTACTAAGGCATATCTTGAGGTGGCATAGGTGCCCCGCTGGTCGAAATCCGTCATACTTAGGCGCAACCTCGGGTGGCATAGCCGCCCCACCTGTTGAAATTTGTCGTATTACAAGCCGACTAGACTTCAAAGAAGCCGGCCTTTGATCAGATATAAAGACGATGAGGGGGACATGTGCGTCTTGACGTCGGAGACCTTTGATGATGCTATGGATATATCCCTCAGAGACAATGGCCTACTACGCTTGGATGTGGTAGTATAAGGGAAGGCTCCTATCCACTGCTAGTCATGATAGGCCAACAATGATTGACAGGCAGTCGGTTCGGTTTCGTATGCGATTGAAATAACACTTGGCGCCTGATAGGATAAGTCATTAAGCAGTCATTTGTCTCAAGGTGAACGCCAGGGAACCACTGCCAGCGTCTATGTTATCACATGCGGAGGCAATGTATTACCATACACCTCTTTCCTCAACCAAGCCACCATCGACAGACTCAGCCAACCTACGTAGTCCACAACTGTCTATCGCCGAAAGCAGCGGACATGACAAAATTCCGGTGTCTTCCATCTCAAGAGCCTCGGATTCGGCTGAGCATCCCTCAGAAGTCTCTCCTGCGGCTCCGTTCCATTCTGGGCACTCTACTCCTCGCCCTAGTGGTGCTGCTACGACGGTGCCTGTCGGGTGTGGTATGGAAACGACCGAAGGAGCTCCCACTCCCCGCGGTGCTGTTGCCCAGCTTCTCCCGTCGAAATTGAATGACAGAATATACGCGCCTAAGCCGGTTCTCAGGACGTTCCTTTGCCTCAATGAGATGAACATGCTGACTCCGAGAATGATCACTTCGGTAGAAATATCGGATCCCGGGATCGAACCTGCGGTTTCTGCCAGGTCACGGTATCTTTCATACCACTTATGATACAACGATGCAGTCGACACACAGATAGGCTGTCCTATCACGTTCACAAAAAGTACGATTGTATCAGGCCTACTTTGCAAGTGAGTATCTCGCAAATGTGGATGAAGTGTGGTATTCAAGTTCATTTTTTCGTCTCAGAGTATGCTGTTGGCGATAACCCATATACCAGAGCTCCACGAGTTCATGCCACTACTACAAGCGATCGTGAACTCTGGTCCCAATACGCCTGAAGTCACAGAGTTTGGCCAGTGGTTCGTTGGCCTGCTCAAGTCATTCTCAACTCTCAGCTTCGACACGCAAGTTCAGGTGAGCTCGATAGTGGGCGCACAACAAGGTCATGCCCGTGAGAGCTTCTCTTCAACACTTCACCGTAACAATCATGAGTGGAGTAGTTTCTGAATTGTAGGTGCTGCTGATGGTGGCTCCCTCGTGGATACCGTGTTTCCGAACGGCGATCCAACTAGGCCGCTTCGATGTACCACCAACGCCTAAACAACAAGTCACTCATTATGGTGAGTTACCACTTCTTGGGTTGTGTGTATATGTGATAACGGCAGGTGTTGAGTGTGATGGCTGTGGCGTGAACCCTATAGTTGGGCCCCGCTTCAAATGCCAAGTATGCGACTATGACCTTTGTGGTGAATGTTATCCGAATAAAAGCACAATCCATGCCGAATCACATGATTTCGTATGTGTCCTGCGTTCTGGCAGAGAGGCCTCCGGAGTCAAACTAGGGCTCCTAACAGTGAGAGCAATCCAAAGCATGTGCGAGCTACATCGCTGTTTCATCTCAGAAGGAATCTCCATCGTCGAAGCTGTCAGCTCCGACGATGTTGTCGGCCAAAGCATCGTCATTGAAGTGCCGAACCCCGGCGGGGGAAGAGGAGCACAAGAATTACCACTGGTCGACGAATGGCTGATGTGTAGTACCCGAAGAAGGGACATGTAACGCCTCCCGATCACCCGTTTAATTATTACCTCTATAGAGTTGTCCAGTTGTCTTTCCTCAGGCATCTGAGTTGCTGGTTGTATGTGCCGAATCCAGTCATTACGAATGCTAATATTTTACTCCCCAGAAGGATGTTGGTGATTTCCTCCTGGTGATTTCGAACCACCATTGCTCATCACCATAGTACAAGGTCATTAACTTTAAAAACTGTACTTGTCTATGATGCGTGAATGATGATGAGAAGTTCTACAGGCTTTCCCGCCTGCCTTTTCCCTAGTCTGTTGTCGTCTCTCGTTAACTATCGCGTACACTTGCTCCAGTGTTCTTCAACTTGATCACTAATGGCTCTGAAAAATCAGCCACGTGCGGTGCTGGTACGCGCCTAGAAAATGGTTGTCATCACATGAGCGGTTGGTAACCTAGGTAGCGTGGCAGCAGTTTGCGCCTTTTTTGGATATTAGAAGTTTCTGTTGAGTTGCCAATCTTGGACGTAGGTATAGGATCCCTCATTTTCCTACAGGGTGTTTCTGAGGTTGTTTGGGTGTGGGCGTTTTCTCATGGTGAAGACCCCGGGTTCGATCCTAGCATGTTGCATTTTTTATTAAAGTTGTACCAATTTACCAGACATGAATGAATCTAGAGGAGCAGAGAGCCCTCCCAATTTGGTCGTGAAGTTTGTATCGGCCAATGGGGTATGGCGGACTCGCGTACCAGCTGCTGTGGCGTCCTTCTCGCGCGTCACACAGTTCGCCAGAGATTGCGCGGCTTCCATCAGTCCGGTGGGTCAGCCTTCTCCCGAGCCCAGGATCCGTTATTTGGATGATGAAGGCGACTGGTGTGAGCTCACCGAGGACACCTGGCCGGATGCCTTGCAGCTCGCTGAGGATACGAAGGGCGTCTTGAGAGTGGAGGTGAGTAGTTCATCCTAGGGGTATGTATTTTTTCTCAAGCACGAAAATTTGGTTTCTCGGCTGATCCGGCGGATATTCGTATAATCTCTCAACGCGATGAATGCCTCCATACAACAAGTCTACACTAGAAGGATTCCCAGTCGATTCATCGAGGCGCATGCTTAAATTTCCATGTGCATGCGTGCAAATTCCTTGAGCAATTCTAGTACTGAATTACTGTAGTGATTGTAGGCAAGTTCGACTTAACACCATAGGATGGGTTAGACTATAGGCATGTAGCAACTGCTCTATAGTTTTCTAATTTCCATTCCTCACGCATTGGATGATTTTTTTATCAGTTGACCGCTAAACCCGAGATACTTCGCAGTAGTTCGACTTCAACAACCACTGCTTCCGCAGCCCCGCCTCTTTGGTCTCCGCCTGGTGCGATTCCCATAGCTATACCACTGAAGGGTGGTGCTAAGGAGGCTAGGCCCTCGGTTGCTGCTACTGCTAGCCCTAATGAGCTCTCACCGTCTCGTCCGAGCCTATCGCCCATCGTATCCACGGTGAGCAACATTACTTTTTACTCGAGTGGATATTCCTTTATCTTTTCAGAACAACCTAGAGCAGCGTTCGGCTGCCTCTGTCGTCAGTGAGGCCAGCCGTCGAGGCTGTAACGACCCATACCCGATATGGGCACCTCCTGGCCTTCAACTTCCCCGTCCGTCTCCCTCGCCCCCAGTCGCTACCCCATCATCATCGCCAGCAGCGGAGTCGTTCGGAAGTCAGAGACTAATACCAGGAGTTTCGGAGATCCCAGCAGTGCCGTCAGCCGCCCGGGCGGACGTGGGGCCACCACCGGGTTTTCCACAAGAACAACAACAAAGGAAGTCCTATGCGCCGAAGCCAATTCTCAAGATGTACTTTGCTCTAAACGAGCAAGGCAGGCTCACTCCGAGGATCGTGACATCGGTGGGTTTCCGGCAAAGGTGAGTTGCCTGTTGTTGATTGTGTTTTAGGTGATGGCTAATTTCATACCGTTGGTGGTACAGAGGATCAGCCGTCATACAGATTGTGTTACTTTTGGGATCTATCATAAGTTCTACCGCATTTTACCAACTCTCAAGGTGATAAGTGATCTCGAGAGCGACCAACATCCCTAACCTCGTTGGGCTTGGGCATGTTTTCTATACGGGGGGAGCTATTGTGATCAAATGATGCAACACGTGGAGTTAATAAGGACGAAGTAAATTTTAGGTGATCGAATTTAGTCTAGCTGCTATCAGTATCGGAATATATGTTCGCTTCCCTCAGCTGAGCTCAGGGGTTTCCTCACCAATTATAGATGTTTGTATACGCATTCGGGAAGGAGTGTTCTGAAATCAACGAAAACTTCCGGAAAAATCCCGAAAAATTATCCTATTGTCACCAACACAGGTAGTTGACTTTACGTGCATATTTTCCCAAATTGATACTGTGTGTATCACCATGGTGTCACCACCTGTTGTTAGGCTGTACTTGAGGCGATAGGAGAGGTGCCATCACTGCAGCGGTTTGCGCCGCAGTTGAGAGCCGTGGTAGACTCCGGTCCCGATGTACCAGAGATGTGCGGTATGGGGCAGTGGATGGTCAACTTCCTCAAAGTCCTTTCGCAAGAACCGTTCGACACCGAAATCAAAGTAAACTTGTGAGGAAGGGGGCGACGGTGGGTAGTTGCTGTAGTAGGTCCTGCTGGCTCTGGCCCATCCTTGGACTGCTGTAGTACAGGAAGACATAGTTAAATACCGAGATATGCTGAGCTGTGATGATGTAGATATCATTCACATAGGTGAGTCCCATGGGGCGCTCGACAGCCCTCAGTGCCCTCTGGGGTCAGGTGTGAAATGTGATATGTGTGGAGAGGCGCCTATCATTGGACCGGTTTTCAAGTGCCGCTCATGCGACGTCAATTTGTGCGGCGAGTGCTTCCCGGATAAGAATTCTATACATCCCCAACACGACTTTGTATGTGTTCTTTGGCCGTCGCGAGATCGTCAACAACAACAACAACAACAGCAGCAGGGCTCATTGCAGTCGAACGTAGGCCCCCGGTTTCAGAGTGTGTTGCTCATCAGTGTGGGAAAATATGCACATGGTTTTACTAAAAAATTGGAAATTTTCGTCGATTCTGCTCTATTGTGTGGAAATACTTGAGCTGAGCTGAGAAAATCGAACATTTTCAGGTGGACCGTCAAGTGGCTGAGAGCTCTGCAAAATTCCCACCAGAAGCTCCCTATAGCAACCCTTTCTTCAGCTCGTCTGCCTCAGAAACCATAGGTCCTTTCGGTCCATGGCTCGATGCTTTACGATCGACCTTTTCCTGGCATGAGGAGTATCGACAGCATCAGCAGCACCCCTGGTCTCACGGGAGCTGGCTGTTCGGCAAGGGGAAGGGTAAAGGGAAAGGGAAAGGGAAAGGGAAGGGAAGTCCATTTGGTTTCGACCCGTGGAGGGGCGATTCATCAGCGCGCTACGACTATGATGAATTCGAGAGCGACCGTTGTGGCTTCCTGGGTGCGGTTGGTGAGAGACTTGATTCGACCCGAGGAGCTTCACAGCAGCAGCAGCAGAGGTCAGCGACGGACTCTGGTGACGAGCGGCAGGCGAAAAGTCATAAAACATACACGCCGAAACCGCTGGTGAAGATGTTCTTGAATCTCAACATTCAAGGTTTGCTCACGCCCCGTACACTAGCGTCGGTAAGTTGTCCAAGTAGTGCTCTACACTGTTGGGAAAATGATGAGTTCGATATGAAAATTCGTTATGAAATACAGAGAAATACATGTACGTTTATGTTATCACATTGTATAGAAATAGCAATATATGATGAAGTTTTAAAATTCTGAGGATAGGCAAATTGACTACGTATGAATCTTGAAAAGTTCTCAATCGATTCACATTGTCATCTCGTTGAGGTCTACGCACTCTCAACAATGAAGTTATAACTCGGTTCCCACTGTAGGTCATCTCGGCTTTCCTACCGTTGACCATTCAAAGACTGAGTCGACACAGTGATCGCATCTCTAAGACGGCTCGGGCCAAATACGAGTGGATCCGCCCCACTCTGGAGGTGACGGCGATTTCGTTTAAACTGTGAAGGGAATTGCCGCTTTTTGGTAGGCGTTGTTGGCATCACTAGAAAAGATACCGGAGATGCAGGAGTATGTACCATCGCTGAGGGAAGTCGTGAATGGCGGTCCTGAGAGCCCACGGATGAGGTCTTTTGGCATCTGGTTTATCACTTCAATGAAAGCTTTTGCTGCACTACCCTTTGAAAAGCGGATGCCTGTGAGTCGTGGGTCCACAGTGTTGGAGGAATATATTTTTGGATTTTTCAGCTGGCCTCAAAAGTTCTTTTCCTCACTCACTGTAGCAATTAACATATGTTTTTTTGTAGATGTGTATAGAAACCAGCAATAATTTCCCGAAATTTCCGCAGAATTTTCATATTTTCCGCAACATGTGCATATTTTCCCCCCAACACTGTTCATCTGGCCTCAGGTTTTGCTTAATGCAGCTCCACGTTGGATGACTGTTGTTACTACCCTCATGGGCTTGCAGTTCGACAAGCATGATGCATTGGTCATGTCCAAATCTGAGCTTTCTCATGGTGCGTATCTTTGCGCACAGGGAATAATTTTCCTTTAACAGATGTTGGTTGTGATGGTTGTGGAGTGTACCCTATAGTGGGACCTCGTTTCAAGTGCCAGGACTGCGACTACAGCTATGATTTATGTGGAGAGTGCTATCCGGACAAGAATAGTATTCATGTTGATGGTCATGAGTTCGTCTGTGAACTTTGGCCTGATACCAATATCGATTCCAACAAAGTAAGTGTAGAAATACTCGTGTATTTTTTTTACGATTTTTTTGCAGAATTTTCCGCAAAAATCGTCAGCAAAAGTTCAGAGTAAAACAGTGGAGAAAGAGGCAACGGGGCCGAGTTGTTATCGCACATTTACCGCTAAGCCTTTGGCTTGGATCTTCCTGGGATTGGATGCATGTGGGATGCTTACGCCCCACATGGTTACATCAGTGAGTTGGATTAATCGGGCGCGCGCTTTTTACATTCATTTCGCTGTTCAGGTTTTGGTGTCTTTCATCCCGTTGATGATCCAGCGCATTAGTCGACACACTGAGCATCTTACTCGGAAGATGTTTAAGCGTTATAAGGAGCTCAGGCCTGTCCTACAGGTGAGGTCGATCGGGAGGCAGCCTCCCATGCGTTTTGTAGATTTTAATTACATATTTAATACCAAAAATAATATAAATCTATTTGATATATTTTTATGGTATGGTATTATTTATCGTAATTGAATATCATATTTTTTCATTATATGGTTAACTGCTTGTCAATACATGTTGTTTTTCATGCTGTACTAATCGTGTGTATGGGGAAAGGCATTCACACATGAGGTGTTCAGCAGACCTCTTCTGAATTTTAAGAGCGATCCTAGGATAGAATTTTGCATGTGAAATTTTAGTTCTGCGAGCGCTGTTGAATCTCAGGAGAGATCTATCGAACACGCCGGTAGCCTCAGATTGAGGTAGCGAGTTCGAATCCCGGGACCTCCATTTTGTCCAATTGCATTGTATTTAATTGTCATTTTGCTTTCAGAGTCTTCTGCTAGCTATTACGCCGATTCCTCCGCTGAAGTCGTTCGTTCCCACCCTCCAAGCTGTTGTGAACCAAGGTCGTGATGCACCCCAAATGGCCACCATCGGCGAATGGTTTGTATCCTTCATGAAGGCCCTTTCAACATTGAGTTTCGACGGCCAAGTTCAGGTAAGGGGAAGTTTTAGTCATTACCTTTTTATCGGTTCGTTTTTAGGTTGTCACGATTATCGTCCCAAACTGGATACCCTTGATGCATAAAATTATGGCTCACACGTCACTTTCTCATGCGCTTGTTCCCACTAAGGAAGAGCTAACGCATCGAGGTAGGGTTGCAGCGATGCTGCTGTATCGACTCGCTTACGTATCTGGTCAGACGCGAGTTGTGATGGGTGCGGCTGTAAGCCGATTATTGGCCCCTTGTTCAAGTGCCAGAGCTGTGATTACGACTTGTGTGGAGAATGCTATCCGATGCGCAGCAGTTTGCACTGTCCGCTTCACGAATTCAGCTGTATATTACGACCGAAGAATAAAGTGAGTTGGTTACCCTTGAATGAAGACAAGCACCTGTACGGTGTACGATCGTTACGGAATGTGGACCTTATTTAGTTTTAAAGCGATGCCTGAGATATAGTACGTGGTTTCGGCCGATGTGTTCTATCGGTACAATGCTCCGTAAGCGTCCGAGGAATATTCCAAACAACGTACCGGAGGTTCACATGGAACCCGAAACGTGCCCTTGAGTCGCCAATTTATGGTTTTTCTATCAGAAATGTAATATTGATAGCGGTATCGAAAAAGCTGAAAGCGTCGCCAAGGAGAAGACCGAGGAGCTAGACACAGATTCGAGCTCAGATTTCGTGGACACTGATGAGCTCGAACAAACCTCCGAAGAAGATTCCCCAAGTGAAGTAGTAGTCGAAGATGGCTCGCGTGTCTTGTAAGAGGTTTTTGGTCGTAGGGAAAGGGTGATGAGGCTGAGGGCGGATGCCCTTTCGTTGAAGCTGCGAAGAAAGCGTTGTCTCGTAAAGAACCACACTAAGAGAAATCAGGGTGCCTCGTTTACTCGTCTTGGCTCATCAAGATTATAGTGACGATTCGAGTTGATGTCGATGCCGTTGGTAGTTGACCTTTCAGTCACTGTTATTTCTGAGCCAATCCACTCAGGCAGTTTATTTCCGTCAGTTGCCATTTCCTGTTACTGAGGACTCGAGTTTACTAGTGGCATCATCATCATCAGTCCGTAAAATGAGAATCCATTTTTAAATGATTTCGAGCTATAGTATCTTGATAAAATTCATCAGAAGTGGAATAAACGTTGGAGTCGAGGGCATACTCCTGCACCATGTCGATGAAGGGGTTGAACTGTGCATTCTGCCGAGCAAACTTGGCTAGATGCTCTTCAGAATCGGCTCTTAACGAAGAATCGTCTCTTATCGCCATCGCACACTGTACGACCACTACAAGGCAACTCAGTTCTCGCGACGTCCACTGGTTGTCTCGAGGGGGGCGACGATACTGCTGTAGGGACAGTAGGAGCAACAGGTCTCCGTGCACTGTGCCGAACCGCACAGTAAATCGACGCACGTTCTCTCCATGTAAAGTGAACGTGGGAGTGAGAAAAGAGAGTATGACAAGGTGGAAGATTGATGAGTGTTTAGCTGTTCAGACAGCGATGAGGCTTTATTTCTGCTGTGAATAACTTTCCGTAACGTTTCAATACAGTGTATGCTCTCTGGCAGGTGGAAATCTTCATTTTTACTCGTCTAAACATCTTCCTCACAATGATTGCGATTTTACTCATGAGATTCTTGTGTAAAAATACAGTTAAATATGTCACAAATGCAACACTTCGTGTGAAAACATCACTCGCTGCTGTAAAGCGCAGATGTACCAAATGCCACACAACAGAATGACATGAGTTATCTCCGCTATGCACCTTGTGTGTTACTGTTGGCAATACGTTTCATAAGCGCCGTCACTTTTACTGTACAACACAACATCTTTCTTAATCAATAAGCAATGTCTATGGGCACTGCAGGGAAACCGCCCGTCGCAAGTTCGATGACCTCAAAGCTGAGCTTGGTCGATGCCACCTTGAGCCTCGGCTTCACGATTCCATTGGTCTATCATAGCACGACGTTCCTCTGAAGTCTGCCTCTCACGGCCACGGTCACGGCCTCGATCATCGCGGCCGCCGCGGTCACGACGATCGCGATCGTCGCCATGATGGTGATGACCACCGTGTCCACTACGGTGTCCACGATCACGACCTGAGAGTCATACTACTGCACAAGTCAGCAGCCTTCTCTACTACTCCTGGAGCGACGACGTTCTCTCGACCTCGATCGTGAGCGACTGCGGTATTCCGGGTGTTGCTCGTACATCTTACGATAGAGTCTCCTGAGAAGGTGTTGTCACGAGGGGATAAGGGAGAGAGATTGTGATCACCTCCTCAGCTTCCTCGGGACGTGTTTCCAATGTATGAAGTTACAGAAGCCTCCTCGGGAACACTGAGCATCATCAAACTGACGGCACCTGTATGAGATGCCTGACATGCAGAGCCTCATAGTGTCTTTCACTACGAGCTACTGAACTGGCGCTTACCACCAACAACAAAAACGGGACAAGAGACACTACCTGGCTTCACTGAAATCCGTGACTGGCGAGTATTCAGGCTGAATGATACGACCGGCATAGAACCTAATGGACATTCAAAGGAGCAGAAAAGGGCAACGACCGACCCACCTCCCAGTTAACTTTTGTATACACATTTCAGCGCTTTCTTCCTTCACATATTTAACATAGACGTTACCAATCATATGATCTCCGATATTATCAACGACAGCGAGATCCTCGATTTCCCCTGAGAAGCCCAACGATGGCATAACCCTCACAGAAGGAGGACCTACCATAATTAGCAAGCTCTAAGAAAACCTCCTCATAGAAGGCTTCGAAGTGCTCCTGGGCGGCATCAGCCTGTTCATCAGGAATATCCTGACCCTCAGCCAGAGCAATGGCAGCTGGGGGATTCTAAGGAGATACGCAATACAGGGAATAGGGAGAGACGTATGCCTTACCTGGTACATTCCCTTGAGGAGGACGGTCTGACTAGAGACCGGCCTATTGTGCTGTCGAGAGCATTGGTCACCGTGACGGCATGTACCGATCTTGAAGTAGAAAGGGCAGTTCACACGGTCCTCTTCAGTGCCGAAGATTCGGGCAAGATGCTCAGCCATTCAAGGAGGGTAGCAGAGCGCGGCTGACCAGTATAATCATTATTTCCCTTCCACACACAGTAGGAGTTCACTAAGGAATCGAAGTCAGAATCCCCGAGAGTTGATCGAGAAAGGCCCAGCATATTAGGTTAGTTGAGGGGACAGGCAAGTTGCACAACACTCAGGGATCTCTCCATGTAATGACCAGTCGAGCGGAGGAAAAGATATTGGGCAGTATTATATTCTTCGCCGAATCGATGAATGAGGATCGGCCCAGCCGCAGGCACTATCCACAGAAGACGTAGTTCACGTTCCGTTCGTAGTGAACCGCAAAAGACGCGAGTGGATAATCGAGCAGAATGGCGTGCGCGCAACTCGAAATTTGTGTCTTTCTCGATTGATGGAATTAACCAGGAGATCAGGTGGACCACTGAGCATCCCGCCTACACCCCTCCACATATTCTTAGCATATCCGGTTTTTCGACTCGTGCACAGCCACCACAACGAGTACCATCTTGTAGCTCAGGGAGGTATGTACTTATGCTTTACCTGATATGACCTCCAAGTTTCAGGGCCTAACTCTTCGTAGTTAGTGAGAAGTCGACGACCGGTAAAACGTTTTCTCCACATATTCTTAGCATACACGTGTTGAAATTGCGCCTCAAAATACCAACTTTTACTCGGGGAGTATATCTAAAACTCCGCTCCTGATCTAATGCTATACATCAACAGAAAGAGAATCGTTCATAATGGTATTCCTCCATGTTTCACTTTCATATT